GATCCTGTTTCAATCTTCTGCATGTGGTCAGCCAGTTTTCCCAGCACCATTTACTGAATAGGTTCTCCTCTCCCCAGTGGTAGGTGTGGAGGCTTTGTCAAAGATGAGTTGGTTGAGAAATTGAGGTTTTGCTTCTGGAATCTCAATTCTATTCCACTGGTCTATATGCCTGTTCCTGTACCAATACCAAGCTGTTTTGATGATTGTAGCTTTATAGTAAAGTTTGAAGTCTGGTAATGTGATACCACCTACTTTGTTTTCTTTGCTGAGGATTGTTCTGGCTATTCTTGGTCGTTTGTGTTTCCATATGAATTCCTGTGTTGTTTTTTCTAGGTCTGAGAAGAATGTTGCTGGTAATTTGATGGGTATTGCATTAAATCTGTAGATTGCCTTAGGTAAGATGGACATCTTCACAATGTTGATTCTTCCAATCCATGAGCATGGAATATTTTTCCACTTGTTTGTATCATCTTTGATTTCTTTGAGCAGTGCTTTGTAGTTTTCATTGTAAAGGTCTTTCACATTTCTGATTAGGAAGATGCCAAGGTATTTCATTTTTTTGGTGGCTATTGTGAATGGAATTGTGGTTTTTATTTGGGTTTCTGTTTGTTTATTATTGGTGTAAAGAAATGCGATTGTCTTTTGCACATTTATTTTATATCCTGAGACTTTGCCAAAGGCCTTTATCAGTGTAAGGAGGTTTTTGACAGATTCTCTTGGGTTTTCAAGGTACACGATCATGTCATCTGCAAAGAGAGATAGCTTGACTTCCTCTTTTCCTATTTGAATACCCTTGATTGCATTCTCTTCTCTGATTGCTCTAGCCAGGACTTCCAATACTATATTGAACAGGAGGGATGAGAGTGGGCATCCTTGTCTTGTTCCAGTTTTCAGGGAAAATGGTTCCAGTTTTTGTCCGTTTAGGAGTATGCTGGCTGTGGGTTTCTCGTAGATGGCTTTTACTATTTTGAGGTATGTTCCCCATATGCTAGCTGTTCGAGTGTTTTTATCAAGAAGGGGTGCTGGATTTTATCAAAAGCTTTTTCTGCATCTAATGATATAATCATGTGGTTTTTGTTTTGACATCTGTTGATGTATTTAATTACATTTATGGTTTTACAAATGTTGAACCAGCTTTGCATTCCAGATATGAAGCCTACTTGGTCATAATGGATGATTTTTGAGATGTGTTGTTGAATCCGATTCGCTAGGATCTTATTGAGAATTTTAGCATCTATGTTCATTAAAGATATTGACCTGTAGTTCTCTTTCTTTGTTGGGTCTTTACCTGGCTTGGGTATCAATGTGATGTTGGCTTCATAAAATGATTTGGGGAGAGTTCCGTCTTTCTCAATTACCTGGAATACCTTCAGTAGGATTGATATAAGCTCCTCCTTAAATGTCTTGTAGAATTCTGCTGGAAAGCCATCTGGTCCAGGGCTTTTTTTGGTAGGTTGTTTTCTTATTACATAGTCAATTTCCTTGATTGTTATTAGTCTATTTAGGGTCTCAGTTTCTTCTTGTTTCAACCTAGGCAGATTGTGTGATGACAGAAAGTCCTCCATTTCCGAAAGGTTTTCAAGTTTGTTTCTGTACAAGTGTACATAGTAGTCTCTAATGATCTTTTGTATTTCTTCAGGATCAGATGTGACTTCATCTTTTGTGTTTCTGATTGTGTTTATTTGGGCTTTTTCTCTCTTTTTCTTGGTCAGTCTAGCTAGGGGACCATCGATCTTGTTTATCCTTTCGAAGAACCAACTTTTTGTTTCATTGATTTTTTTGTATTATCTTTTTGTCTTCTATGTCCTGGATTT